TCAGGCTTCTGTATAGTGTTCGTCTGTGAGTCAGACTTTTACAGTGGTTTCAGATTTAAATTTGGGGCAGCCTATTGCTGTGCCAGAATGGTTTTTTCTTCATCCTGATTGGTTGGGAGTCTTGGTCTGTGTTTATTGGTCTCGGAGTTAGCTGTGTTCTGCTTGATTGGTGTCTCTAATATCTTCTGTCTGTTTTTTGGCTCTTTTTGTATCTTGATTGGCTGGCAGCATTGTGTTACTTTATTGGAGGCCTTTAGTGCAGCTTGGCTTCGGGTAAATGGACGGCTATCATTAGTTAGGAAGCTGGGTTTCATCTGGGTGCCTGGTTGGGGTGTGTTTGAGCTGGAGGTATCAGGGGGGATCTGTTTGTACCCAGGTGTTTGCCTGGCTTGTGGTGTGGAGACTTTTTTTGTTTGTGAGTGCAGGCTTCCAAATGATTGACAGCCTGGTGGAATCATCTCTTCTATTCATGCTTTCTGGTCTTTTTTCAATCTCTATGGCTTCTCTGATGATTCTGTGGCTAGGGTTTTCTATAGTGGCTAGGGTTTTGGTGCCATTGAAGTTGATGCTATGACCTGTGGCTTCCATGTGTTGGACTAGTGAGGAAGTGTGTTCCAGCTTTTTGACTGCATTTTTGTGTTCATCCAGGCGGGTACTTATTCTTCTATTGGTCTGTCCAATGTATGTGGCTGGGCATGATGCACAGGGGACTTCGTATATGCCTTGGTTTTCCAGGTCAATTTTATCTTTGGGGTTGCTAAGGATGGCTGCTATTTTTCTGTCTGTTTTGAAGGCAGTCTTGATGTGATGTCTGTGTAGTACCTTAATAATTTTGTCTGTAGTACCTCTTATGTAGGGCAGGACAGCTGTTCCATAGGTCTGTTCATCTTCTGGGTCTCTATTATGTTTCAGTGTGTTTTTGTGGATCAAGCTGGTGATTTTGCTTTTGTGGAAGCCATTGGCTGTCAGTACTTTAGTCAGGGTGCATAGTTCAGTCTTAATGTGTGTCTTATCTGCCAGGCGTTTGGTTCTGGTAATTAGTGTTTTAGCCACGGAGTTTATCTGTGCTGGGTGGTGGTGGGATTGGGCGTTGAGGTAGCGGTTAGTGTGTGTTTTCTTCTGGTATACGGTGTGTCCTAGTGTGCCATCTGTTTTTTTATATATATGGTATTCAGCTTTGTTCGGGTATTTTCCCACGTCATTATAGTTGTGCTTTTAAAGTTGTAGCAACGTTTCAGCAGAATCTCATCTGCCATCATCAGGCTTCTGTATTGTGTTCGTCTGACAATCCCACTCCTGCCATTCATTAAAAATCTCCTCTTTTTTGGAAACTTGGGATGGGGATGGAGCCATAACTGCTTTTAAATTAATTTCTTGTGCAGAAATATGAAAAAGGAGTTGTTTAAATGAATAGTACTATACACATGCTTGCAGGAAATTCAGAAAAACATATTTTAATCATCTTCAAAAGATCATGGCCCTGTAATTTATATAGCTGAACCTGGATGAATGAGCAAGGAGCAAAATCACAGCCCAGGATTTTAATCATAGTCATCAGGGATTCTGTCTGTTTGCAAAAGAGAAAAAATGGGATAATTTATTTTAAATTTTACCATGTCTTGCGAAGTCAGTAATAACATTAACTACACTCAGAAAATAAACATATACATTGCATTCTGAGTGAACAGGGGGATTTTGTTAGCTTCTGTTTCTCGTACATGCATATGAAAACAGAATATAATTTTGCCTTAATAATACTACTGAACTTTATTGCTCTTTTGATTAATTCCAAACAGAGCTGAAAATAAATCCATTAAACTCTGTTTCTGTTTCTGAATAGACATGCATGGAATTACCTCATTAACCTTAATAGGTTGATATTTTACACATGGATCTATTTCTCTCTCTTCTTTTTTTTAAAAACATTTTTACATAGGAAAGTCCTTAATTCACTGTATAATGCTATGCATATCTACTCAGAATAAAATCTCATTTTATTCAATGGGATTTATTCCAATATATAGGCTTTTAGCTTATTTGATAATGAATCGATTCAATTTTAAATAACAGAAATTAATATCTTGCTTAATATTATAAGCATTTTGGTATATATGATATTCCAAATTATTTGATTTAATAAATGCATTTAATTCACTTGTTACTAAACTGTATGAGATGCAGCTTAATTCTGAGCTTAACAGATATTTGGATATATTTATGTAGGTTTGTTGAAGCGTCAGGCTATATTATTTATATCCAATTTTACTTATATGTCATGTTTCTTTTCTTTTTGCTTCTAGCAGATGATGAAGAGGTCTCTACTGCTGTAGACAATGAATCAATTGAACTTCAGGAAAGCACCATTAATACCTCAGCATGCAACAGTATAGAGACCTCAGAAAGTGCAGCTTCAGAAAAGCTACATGAATGTTCACTAATATGCATCAGTGTGGGCAACTCTGGAGCTGAAGAACTTACCTTGAACTGCTCCTTCAAAGAAGAGCTAACAGAATATAGAGAGAATGATGTTGTACCAGCAAACACAGTTAATCTCTCAGAATCTATTCCAGTGGAAATAATGCCTTCCCCAAGTGTTGTGGATTTCAGTGAACGACTACCTTTGCTGGCATGCACTCCTCCAGAGTCTGAAGTTAGAGAAAACAACAAAGTTAATTCTGTTACTCAGGCAGATAGTGACATCTTTATCAGCATAGAAGCCTTATCTATCGATGAGGTGAGTGGAGATATTCAAGTTACCAAGGATTTAGAGAAGAATCAGGATGATGAAGGGGCTTCAGCCCAAGAGGACCAAGATGAGAATGATGATGAAAAGGAGAGCAAGCTACAACTAAGGACCACGATGAAAAGGAAAAGCAGGCCTTGTTCCTTGCCTGTGTCAGAACTTGAAACAGTGATTGCATCTGCTTGTGGGGAGCCTGAGACTCCTCGTACACACTACATAAGAATACACAATCTCTTGCACAGTTTGCCTTCTGCCCAGTTGAGTAGTGATGATGGAGAAGGGGAGGAGGAACAAGGCAGTATAATAGAGAATGATGAGGAACTGACAGTGAGGGAAGTATCTGAGAAAGATTTAGTTAGTGAGACTGAAACAGTGTTGGCTGAACCTCCTCAGGAAAACTTAGTAGAAGAGAACTTTGTCCGGGGAACTGTTCCGCGCAGCACCTCCATTGAACACCTTGCTGATTTAAATGAACAAACATTGGATAATGAAGGGCCAAGAACTGAAAGTGACAGTGAACTGAGTCCTAGACCAAATGGTGACCCTGAATATGAAGTGTGTGACACATCCTGTTATAGCACTTCTTGCTATAGCACTTCCTGCTATAGTACCTCCTGTTACAGCACTTCCTGTTACAGCACTTCTGGCCATGAGAGTGCCAACCGATTCTCAAGTCATACTAGGTTCTCTTCCGTTGATAGTGCAAAGATTTCTGAGAGCACAGTTTTTTCTTCACAGGATGATGAAGAGGAGGAAAATAGTGCTTTTGAATCAGTGCCAGACTCGGGTCAAAGCCCTGAGTTGGACAGGGAACAGCTGGATAGCTCTGCCCATTGGTCTGAGGAATTGGTAGTTCCCGGAATGAATCTACAGGGGACTGCAGAAAATATAGAGTCTCCAATAGCAGGTCCAAGCATCAGAAGAGAAGGTTAGATTTGGAGGAGAAGGAGGAGGACCTTGAATACCATAACTTAGGCAGAAATAATAAATAATAAAGATCTTATCATATAGACAAACTTCTATTTAATATAGGACCTCAGATTTAAAAACCCACTTTTAAATGCAGGTGTGGGAATTGAATTTTTTTTATTGTGCTTTCATGATAATTTACATAGGAAATGAACTATCAAATGTATGGTGTAGAAATTGAGAAATATATGGTTGCCACTTTGCAGTCCATGTACTAAGCATCTATCATCAGATGCTGCAGGTCACAAGATTTCTGCCTTATTTCTAAACATTTTTTTCTCAGTTCCATGAGTCCTTATCTACTTTCTCTGTTAATGAGTAATACACCTCAGGTGATAAAGGGCGAATTTAACCCTGGGCTAGAGAATAAAATAATACTGTAAGAAGCCACCAAATTTAGAAATTTTCAAGTATAGATTGGCTGTTTAGAAGCTCTCCAATTTTCTCTTTATTTCCTTTGGACTTGAATATATGTTTTGTGTATGATAGGTTCCACATCACCTTAGGTATGCTGTATCCTCCTTTATTATGCTGGTGCCCTACATATGAAGACACATAACACTCAGCAGTAGAGTCACTAGCCATGCTGGCTGGAATTCTAACTTACAAAAATTAGTGCTAATTGACGAAGGCTACATTTATATCCCCACGTGGTGTTTTAAATTGTTATGGGTTTTCATGTGGGGATTTCACCCATCGATCCTTCAAATATCTATCTTTTGCTTTAACATTTCAGTACCTGTCTGCTATATAAAGATTTCTAAATTGTTAATACACCAAACTTTTGTCAATCCTTATCATTCCCAAACCTTTATATCATATGTGTTTATCATAATGCATCTGCAATCAATGTGTGGCAACTTTGAATGAATATGCACTTCTGCCCTTTCTTATCCATAGGTGATTGCCCTTTGCTACATAATTCTCAGCCAATCAACCAGCTTCCTTCATTGAGACCTGATCACCATCAGTACCCAACTGTTGACGAGCCTCTCCCACCAAGTAAGATTCAGATTTTATATTATTTAATTTAACTCATCTAAAAGATAAAGATCAATATCTCCTGTATGTACATGTGAACCTTGCAAGATAAATTTTAAGTTAGCTAAAATATAATCTGTCACCATCTGTCTTTTGTTTTTCCTTTTATTCCTGAAATACTTTTTTTTTTTTACGGATGCACTAGGATTTTTGCTGGGTTTGTTTTCCTTGATTCTATGCCCGTGATGGCGAACTATGGACTATGGCTCATGTGCCAGAGGTGGCATGTAGAGCCCTCTCTCTCAGCACATGAGCCGTTGCCCCAGCTCAGATCTGCTGCATATGCGCACGTGCCTTCTGTTGGACAGCTAGTCTGCCATGCAGGCATGGAGCGAGGTACATGTGTGGGGGCATATGCACACAAAGGTACATGCACATGTGCATAGGTGGGTGGGCGTATGCGCAGGGATATGCACGCATTTAATTTTGGCAATGCGTGCTTTGGGCACTCAGTGCTGAAAAGGTTAGCCATCACTGTTCTATGCTGTTTCATAATTACGATTTATGATTTCTTCTCTTGTCATTTGCATATTGTACTTTTTAAGTACATTGTTTTGAACAATAAGAAAGTACCCAATAATTATTTGAGGAAATTATTATCTATAGGACCCAGTATTGTTTTTAAAAGGCAGTTCTAAAACATGGAAATAGAGACAAGACCAGAGGTGGTATTCGACAGTTCTGACCAGTTCTGGAGAACCCGTAGCATAAATTTTGAGTAGTTCGGAGAACTGGCAAATACCACCTCTGGCTGGAGATTTTACAGTATCCTTCCCTTGCTACACCCACCAAGCCACGCCCACAGAACCAGTAGTAAAAAAATTTGAATCCCACCACTGGACAAGACCGAAACATTGGGTTGATTGAATGTATATTTCTCCCCCCGCCAGGTATCATAGTGCATTTAAGTCCTAATTTATTTCAGAAAGCACAGAAAATCATCCCGATAGATTGTGGCTATGATGAGTTAAATCTTCAGTTACTTTTCAAAGATGAAGAGAACTATTCAAAGAGAATGTATTCTTCCCTGAGGATCCCACCAAGTCCAAATTACCACTTCATTTGAATTTTGCCTGTATGATTTTCAGACAGCAAGCAGCATACAAATGTGGGTTTGACAATGAACCATTCATATTTATTATATGTTTGAATCCTTCTGCAAAATGAGTAAAGTAAAATTAATACTTTTAGTTAAAAGTGTCCTGCATTAATAAATGCTGACCACTAGAGGGCATGCTCTGATCTATAATACTTCATATGTTTGTCACCTTTCAGGTTTGAATAATAACATTTATAAATAATTCATAGTCTTGGTATTAGCCAACCTAATCATTGGATTTGATTCTGTTCTTGTTAATTTAATAAAAGCCAAAATAAATATTCAGTCATTTAATGCTCAGAAACCTCCACATTAAGGCGAAACGTTGATATATAACATGACAATATCACATAATAGGCAAAACCTTTATTTTACCAAGGAGTTTGCAACTCAGATCAAATTGCCCTTCTGTTATTGCTTAAGAATAATTATTTATTTACTTATTTATATCAATTTTTATTATTTTTACAAATAACTCAAGGTGGCAAACGTATCCAACATACCTTCCTCCTATTTTCCCCATAACAATAACCCGTGAGTTGGGTTGGGTTGAGAGAAAGTGACTGGCCCAAAGTCATTCAGCTGGCTTTCATGTCTAAAGCAGAATTTGAACTTATTGTCTCCTACTTTCTAGCCTGATGCCTTAACTACTAGACCAAATTGGCTCCCAGTAACAATTTGTTATTTAACAAATTTACATGTACTGAATTATTGCAAAACTCCTGTGGGAAGGAAATTTGGCAAATTTGAGGTTGCTACAGTGCTGCCAGACAGCCACATTACCATTCAAAGATTCAAAAGATCAGTCCCAATGTAGTCCTGTAGAGGCCAAGTAAACTGCTCCCACCATTGGTTACCAGGGAGCAGTCAGCCATGATCATGCCAGCAGAACATCAGAAATTGTTCCAGATCATACTGTTTTGTTTTTGTTTTGTCCTTCATCATTCTGTTTAGGTAAGGAAATATATCTGAAACAGTGACCAAGTGGGTCATGGATTATGTAGCGTTGTTTATTAACAAGAGAATAAAGAACTAATTAATTAATTCCCATTATTATGCCTCCTTATTCCCATTATTATGCTTCCTGTTCTGTGTTTCTGAATATAGTTTTTTTCCCCTTTTGTGGTTAATGCTATTGAAAGCTTGCTGCACAAATTGTATTTTTTTCTTAATTTTATTTAAAATTATACTGTAATGATAAACTTCAGTGGAATGATTTTTTAAAAATTCAGTTTCTTAGGTTGCATTTGCAATTTAAGCTCAAGATTTAATACCTTGTGTTTTGATTAGTCTTCATAGCAATAAGTAAACTATACAAGCTGAGACAACATTTATTTAAATGTGATGCTTATCTGATGTGATAAAGAACTATTTGTATTAAGCTGTTTATCTAACTTAAGTGTTTCTGAAACTTGGCAACTTTAAGACATGTGGGCTTCAAATTCCCAAATTCTGGGATTTGAAGTCCATATGTCTTAAAAGTTGCCAAGTTTGAGAAACACTGATTTAACTGATGGCTAGATATTAAGTAAGGCTGTCATTAACATGGAGTCAGGCCTTCCTGAACATTGTAAGGAACTGGCATTTAAGAAAATACGACAAGCCAGATAATATTCAGACATTTTGGACAGAAGCAACAATGGTAGCATCTCTTCAGAACAGTCATAATGTATCTTTTGGCGCCTACGATCCAGAGTCCATTCACTCTGATGGCACCTTCTGTGAAGTGGCGGCCTTGATGGTGGACTGTTTCATGGTAGTGTCATACTAACAGGCTCGTTACATGTTGGCAAACAGGAAAGATGATGGGGTGTTTGTTGTGTAAGGCCATTTCAGCTTTGTGTAGGCATCTGCCCACTCAAAGTAACTCTTGGCTGTCGAGGTATGGGTTCAATTCCAGAAGTGGACTAGATTGTGATATGGGCTTCCCTGCTTTCAGGCATCCGAATTCCAATGGATATGGATCTTGTTGTGCACTTCTCATTATTTGTCTCTCTGCCTGGGTATAACAGTCTGGGAAGCTTGACTGGAAGCCTTTCCAGTGATCTAGGAAATGAACGATTGTGCGAACGATCACAGTCATGCCCAGTATGAGAGGTTTCCATTGGGAGAAGCGCTCAAAGCGAGCAGGTTCTAAGGGGCCTTCCTTCTTGTGTTTGACTGTCATTGCCATGCAAACGACCTGTTCCTTTGCCTTCTCTAGAGGTTGAATGTTGGCATCATGATCTGGATCTAGGAGCTCATAAAGTTCGGGTTCCCCTGGCTTCAGGGTGCCTGTACACAACAAGAACTCAGGGCCTTTGAGCCAGGTCGATTCTGCTAACTGGGATGCAGGAATTGACCTTGTAGCATGATCTGCAGGGTTCTGGTCTGTTGGTACATACTGCCACTGCTCAGGTTTGGAAACTCTCCTGATCTGCTCTATTCCGTTGCTCACATAAGACATAGAAGTGTCTGCTCTCATTGTGGATGTAACCCAGTATCATCTTGCTGTCTGTATGGAAGGTGGTAGGTTCTAACTGAAGATCTATCATCTTCATTATCGTGTATGCTAGTTCTGCGGCCAGTGCAACTTTCCAAAGTTCCAGCCGTAGTATAGTATGACTTTGTTGCAGTGCCAGTATTGCCTTTCCCATGACAAATCCAACATAAACGTCACTCTCCCCACCATAGACCCTGAGGTATGCCACGGCTGCAACTGCCTTTGTTGACGCATCTGAAAAAACATGCAGTTCCTTTCTTTGTGCCATGGTGGGCGAGATAGGAACATATGTCCACTGTAGGTGAACATCTTGGAGACATCATAGAGAATTGCACCATGACTCCCATTCTTACTTCTGCTCTGGTGGGAGTGGTTCATCCTAATCTTTGGTATTTTGGGAGAGCGTGCACAGTAGGATTCTACCTTGAATGGTGACAAGGGCTGCAAAACCTAGAGGATCGAACAAGCTGTTAACCATTGACAGTACTCCTTTCCTCATAAAGTCAGTCTTTAGGGCTGGGGTTTTGAAGGTGAAGAAGTCTTTTTTCAAGTCCCAACATGGGCCAAGACTGCATTGGATTAGGGGGGACATCGCTGCTGAAATCGAGGTCTTGAAGTCCCTTTGCATGGTCCTCGGGATTGAAGGCCTTTAGTACTTCTTCGTTATTGGAAGCTATCTTGTGTAGTCTGAGGTTGGCATTCCCTAGTATCTGCCATGTATTCTTTAAGAGGTCTATGGCCTCTACTGGGATGGATACAGATTTCAAGCCATCGTCCACGTAGAAGTCGTGTTCTACGAAGCATGTAGCTTCTGCTCCATATTTGTCTCTGCCCTCTCAAGCTGTATGTTTACAATTGCAGGGTAAGAGCCATTGCCAAAGACATGCACTCTCATTCTGTATTCTGAAATCCATTGGTTGTGCTGTTCGTCACTGAACCACAGGAAATGGGGATAGTTGCGGTGATCTTCCCGTACAAGGAAGGAATAGAACATCTGCTGTATGTCGGCCACAACAGCTATGGCTTCTTTTCTGAAGTGGATGAGCATCCCAAGGAGACTGTTCATGAGATCAGGTCCTGTAAGAAGGGTCTTGTTCAGAGAGTGGCCTTGGAACTGTGCGCTGGCGTCAAAGAGTACACGTATTTGGCCTGGTTTCTGGGAATGGTACACTCCAAAGGATGGTAGATACCAACATTCTTCGTCTTTCCCCAGGGGTGGGGCCAGCTCAGCAAGTCTGTTCTGTACCATCTTGTCCATGAACTCCACTAGGTGAGTTTTCATTTCTGGCTTCCAGTTCATGATTCATCTCAGACTAAAGAAGCGAGAGAGTGCAAGTTGTTGGTTGTTTGGCAAGCATTTCTGGGTGTGCGAAAGGGTAGTGGAGTGACCCAACAGGTTGCATCCAGTTGACATTCCTTACCTATAAGCTGTAGGAACCTTTTGTCCTCTATAGACAAGGCTAAGTTGTTGTCTTCTTTGGTAGTCTGAAACAGTGCCTCTCCTAAGACAGGTTTGACTGTTGAAAGCGTGAAGTGTTGTTGGCACAGTTTCAGATGGGAGGATCTTCCATTCTTGAGAACGGATGTAGCTAAGGTACTTGCCTGGGTTGGGGCCTGCAGCCGATCGACACAGACTACTCCTGTGATTCCCCATCCTAGCTGTGTTTTGAAGGCAAATGGTGCGTATGTTGGGCCCATGACTAAATCAGAGTAAGCTAAAGCATAAGGGGCATCTACTCCCAGCAAGAGTAGAATCTCTGCCTCTGGATCTAGAGTGGGAAATAGATGAGCCATGTGCTTCAGGTGAGGTATGTTGCTTGCTACCTCTGATGTCGCAATCTGGCTGCGGTTGCTTGGTATCCCGCCCCATTCCAACACAGGTGGCAGTAGGAAGTGAGAACTCCCATCTAATGGCATTATACAAAGTCCAGTGGCTCTGCTCCCCATTGTGTGTCATGGTGCGGTGCACGTTGATTGATATTGTGAAGTGCACTTCATCCTGTTGGACATCAAAGAGGTCGAAGAATGCAGATCTGGCCAGCGAGCAGGTGCTCTGATTACCCACTATCACATACATCTTTACGGCTTCTTCTGGGCGTCCATCAGGGTACATGTTGGCTAAGCAGATCTGATGACATAAGAGAGGGAGTTGTGGGTCTTCACATACTGCCATGCATTTGACACTTGCTGTCAGTCCTGGTTGCGCTTCGGCAGCCCACTGAGGAATCTTGTTTGAGGAGGGTTCGGAGTTGTCTGCTGTGGTGGATTGGGGTCTGGATGCAGAGTGGCTGGATGCTTGTTGCTGTTACATAAGTAACATAGCACCTTGGCTGTGCAGTATTTGGCCGGGTGTTTGATTCGCAACACTTGTAGCAGAATCTGTACTCCCTTATCAAATCTTTCCTTTGGTCCAGGGATTTCTTTGTAAATGCCTGGCACCTGTTCAGTGAGTATTGAGAATTGTGTAATGGGCAAAGCTGGACTTTCTGTTTTGTCGGGGGCTTAACTTGGGTTGGGCCCAACAGGTTTGCGGCCAAACTCTTTATGGTTGAGGAGTCAACCCTGGTCTTATGGACAACTATGA